ATTTTGACGAACTTTGAGGCCATCTAGCGGCCAAACGAAACGATTTCGGATATAGCTGAATTAACCTAAATCTGACTATTTTGAGTCCACGAATATGTGGTCTTCTTCTGTACACGTTATTCCCTGTATATGGGAAATTTAGTGGAAAACGTGACTTGTGATCACCAGTAACCCCCACAAAAAAGGACAAAACGTTTTTTATTGAATAAATAGAAGATCTGATTATAGGCTATTCCAGAATCCTGTCAAATGTAGATTTATTTTTCACAGCCAGCATATTATGATTATATATTCCGATTTTATCAAACTCGGTCTGCTGATATAAATTAGCCATTTATCACGAAATATTGTTCTCCCACTCCGGTTAGATTTGGGGTGACAAAGATTAATTATTGTAACTTTAGAGTGGAAGTGTCTACGACCTCAACAGAAAGCTGTCTCGGTTAATGTATCCAAATTTAGTCAAGTAATTATCTGTACTCGAAGAGTTTGCAAAAGTGCCTTGATTTTTTTTATTTACATATACAGGGTGTAAGAAGTATGACTGCCATAACTTCAGCATAAGATAGAGTAATCATAAATGAACAAAAAGTTGTATATTATAGGGATGTAAGATTAACAGTTTTCAAAATACAGAGAATATTAATATTGGGGAGTTTCATCACAACGTGACAACAGCGCTACACAGCTGGTGCATACCACGTGTGCACGCGACAAACTTGTCCTACGGAAAAAATGTAAACAACTATTATTGTGAAACATTTAGTAAATTTCAAGACAATTGTTTTTCAATTTTTAAATAAATAAAATAAAATGTATCGTTTTTGTAGTACGAAGATAGTGTAGTGCTTAAATTTTACCTCGAATTTTAGCAATTATAAATCTCTTAAAACAGGAACTTAATTTTTAATCAAATTATGAATTTGAAAAATATGTAATTAAAGTACCCAGAGATTCACGTCGTCCAAATAATCATACATATTAAAAATAATTTAGATACTTACCAAAAAGCAAAATTCAGTAATTTTTAAACGCATAAGTACAAAACAAACTACAACATATGCTCAAAATGACCACCACCATTTTCAATGCACGCACGACATCTAATCCAATTTTAGCGTACCCACTCGCTGGAAAACACCTCAAGAAAATGAAATAGTGGTACGCAAAAAACATTCCACGGTCCAATTCCACATACCAACACCAACTAAATTGCGTATTGCTGAACATGTTAGTACCTCGTGTTAATCGCCGCGCCGTTGTCACATTGCTCGATATGAATTTTATCAAATTTTAAATTTATTGCAACACTAATTATTTTTAGAATTAAGCATAAAGAAGTTCAAAAAAGTGATAAACATTATATTTTAAGGTATTCCTGAAAAATTCACGGGCGTACGAATTATTTTTTTAAAGGGGGCTGTAACCCACCTCAGGCACGTCACTGGTGTGTGAAATGGTTAACAGATATCTTTGTTTTATTCACCATAACTAATGTGTTATTAATACCAAAATTCAGTTCAATATATGTTGGTCTTTTAAAGATATTAAGAAAAATTCTTAAAAAAAGTTTGTTTTCAACACCCTACATCTCACAAACGAAGCGTTCTAAGACCTATGTTTATAGGAACTTTTTTTATTAAAAAATTATTCTCTATCAACTGTTAAAACAACAAAAAACTGACACCCTGTATATTACTTGACTAAACACCGACAAAATCAAATATCCTTACAATTAACCGAATATTGCCGGATATAACTGGTCGACTGTCTATTCCTATCCTCCTTTTCATATGTTTACGAAATTGGAAAAAAAATGAATTCAGGCAAATATTTATTGTTAAACATTGCGTGGGTTATAAAACATCTTCGATTCCTTATTCATATTTTATATAGTCTGATGGATGGTATTATTCTCGATAACATACAGGCTGTAACTAATTATTAGATTAAACCGTTGACCACAGATTGTTATTTGAGCAAACATAATGGGACTTTTATGTAATTTTTAAAAGTTATGTTCTTAAATACGATTTTTATTAATAGTCCCGCTGTTTTCTAACACGCCGAAATGAAATTTTGTACGCACTGGTTACGATATACCATAACATAGCGATTTTAATTAATTAATTAATTTATTAATTTATTTAAATTATTTATCCAACAGTGAAAATCACCAATTACAGGACAAAATATACAAATATATAATATTTACAAACTTGTAGGTAAGCATACAGAAGAAAATGTAAAGAATAAATATAACAAACATGCCGGTAAAATAGTGTAACAACAAAAGATAAAGAAAAATAAGAAGAAAGAAAAAGGAAAAAGCTGCAACTACTCCCTATGCTACCAATCATGAATTGTTGACACTTCTAAAAGCTATGTACAGATGTTGCAAACTACAGTTGAATATATCACTAGAGTTACAGATTAAGTTATAATTGTGTGACATAAAAGAATTAATTAATCGAATGTAGGAATGGGCGTGGTCATACAGGGTGTCCCGGTACTTGATACAAAAAAGTTGAGTCCAAATAGATAAAGTCAAAATAATATCAGTTCTTCAAATATTTTTTTTTGATACAAGCCTTCGATAACAAGTTACGGGCCTGCAAAAGTGAAAATTAAAAAGTTATTTTTATTTAGTCTCTAAACTATTAACTTCAGCATGATGCAAATTTGGTAATCGATAACACATGCGTACAGCTTGTTTTTGATGTAGTAAGTGAAACTTCATTATGCCCAAAACGCCAGGGACGGACTACCTATGCCCAATGGTTAACAACCCAGAATTTTTGCATAGATGACGACCGCAATCTACCTGTATCAAAAATAAGTTCCCTGAAGAATTTTCCAACGATAATACCCTCTGGGTTCAACTCGATAAAATGAACAGTTTATGAAATATTTGTGATTTTATGTCTTAGTACACATCGAGCGTCGCTTCCACCATTTTTTGTTTTTAACTTTTAATTGGACACAATTACTATGTTAGAACCGTACATATTGTTAAAATAAGAGCCTAGAAAATCTTACTGTCTGCTAATGTAATTTTCACTAACAAAATTTGACAAACACACTTTACACAACACAAAATAGAAAAAAAAAGAAGAAGCCTACGTCACTCTGACTATAAAAGTAGCACCATATATTTTTTTTACTGTGTTATCCAATTCACTTATTGATACTTAGATATATTAATGCATTTAACTGAGAGATGTATGAATGCACCATATTTGCCAACGGCAAATGCGACCAGTTTGCTAATTTACACATGTAAAAAATGTTAGTTAGCAATTTTTTTTAAGTCATCCGATAGATTTTTTCTATTGCTAACATTTCACAAAAGTTAGTGCTTTTATTGCAATGTTCTACTTATATTTGCAGTCATCATTAGCAGAACTGACTCGTCAGACTGCTATAAGTAGGAAAGTATTGATTACCGTAAAGACTTTTGGTCAGTAACACAAAACAACAACTACAATTCCAGCCAATTTGACCGATTCCACATTTTCATAAAGACAGTGCGGGGTCCAATTATTACACCCTAATTTATGACAACCTGTATAAAATTAATGGTCCATAAAATTAAATGGAACGGATTCCAACTTCATATTGATCAAATTAGCTATTCCGAGTAACTTTATGACTTCATCAAATGCTAACATCGAATCAACTAAAATCTCATTGCTAGACTCGGAATTGCTATTTGCGTGCCAGAACAAAGTTATAGGACATTTTGGCTTCTGGCGAAAAAATATAGAAGTAAAGGAATGTTTCCAATATCCCTTTTTTATGATGAACGATTCATGAAATTAGATGCCTCTCTGGAGGTATATGAAATTTTTTCTTTTGAGCGATGTAGATTTTTTCTGTTTACTTGAAAACGGGGAACGAAAACGTTTTTCTATGCCATTCTTATTAAAATTTACTACGACGAACCGCATAAAAAAAAAAGAAAAAAATTCCGATACATGAATTCGTGAAACAGGCATTCCGAAAATAAAACTTTTTTGCCACTTGTTACGTTTATAACGACAAGCGCCGAGTTTATAATCCCAATATTTACTCCGCAATGTAGTGAATTAAAACATTTGAAAGCGGGGCCATAAATATTAATTTGAAAATTAATTAATGAATGGCAAATGGTCTTCCTACACAGTATTTTAAAAGCACAGGCTTTGTAAGCACACAATAATTTGATTTGCAGGGTTGCGTTCGCTTTTACGATACGTACCTCGATACCTAACCTAATGGTAAATAAGGAAGTTCTTTATACAGGATGGTTCGATTATTGTTGATCAATTAAGATGTTCACTATATGAGAGGTGGGTTGATGTTTCCTTCGAGCTCGTTAAACTAAGTTTTAACGATTTTTTTTTGACAGTGCCAATCGTGCAATGTTGGTTGCCTAGGTTCGTCGATCACGTGACTTGTAATTATTTATGAAGGCTTTATGTAAATAAAATGTTTTCAATTTTAATTACTATTTCTGCTTGTTATTGACAAAAAAAAGACTTAAAGTGTTCTGAAAATTGGATCCAATGCTTTTGTACCTATTTCCCTTAATTTTCCTGATTATACGGAATTTTTATTTCATTAATTTTTTTATTGTTTTATTATATGGTAAAAAAACAAATAAATAAAGAAAAAAAATTAAACTATGCAAAAAAGTAAATAATTACATACTTTTTATATTAATTTATCTATTTAAGATGAGCAACAGTAACAACTAAAGCAGACTTCTTTAATCTATTATAAGAGTAAGTATTATTTACTAAGTACAAGAGCAACTACAACAGCAACAACAACAACAACAATAACAACACCAGCAGCAGGAACAACGACAGCAATAAATCTACAACAGCAGAGTACTCCTTACTGTAGTAGTTGCGAACTCGGTAGAACTCTTCGTATCCTTCTTACGCATAATGTCGACTAAGGAAACCAGTTCAAGTAACAAGATTTAAGACCGGTATCAACATCGTTGCCTTAAATTAGATGTCGTTGTTATTGCTGTTATTGATCTTGCTGGTGTTGTTGCTTCTGTAGTTGTTGTTGTTGCGGTAGTAGTAGTTGTTGTTGCTACCGCTGCTGTTGTTGTCGTTATTATTGATGCTATTGGTCTACAACGGCAACAGCAACATCAACAACAACAACAACAACAACAACAACAACAACAACAACAACAACAACAACAACAACAACAACAACAACAACAACAACCACGACGACGACGACTACGACGACGACGACGACGAAGACGACGGCGACGACGACGACGACGACGACAACAACAACAACAACAACAGCAACAGCAACAACAACAACAACAGCAGCAACAGCAACAGCAACAGCAACAACAGCAGCAGCAGCAGCAGGAACAACGACAGCAATAACATGTACAATAGCAGTAGCAGCAGCAGCAGCAGCAGCAGCAGCAGCAGCAGGAACAACGACAGCAATAACCAGTAGCAGCAGCAGCAACAGCAGCAGCAGCAACAGTAACAACTAAAACAGACTTCTTTAATCTATTATAAGAGTATTCCTACTAGGTACAAGAGCAAATACAACAACAACGACAACAGCAACAACGGCAGCAGGAACAACGACAGCAGTAAATCTACAACAGCTGCAGTAACAGTAACAACTAAAGCAGACTTCTTTAATCAATGATCAGACTATTCCTTACTTAGTAGTCAGAGATTCCTTACTGTAGTAGTCAAAGTATTCCTTGCGAACTCAGTAGAACGCTTCGTATCCTCCTTACGCATACTGTCCACTAAGGAAACCAGTTCAGGTAACATGATTACTTCAGTCAAATTAGATCAGAAAACCTGAAAACCTGAAAAAATTATTAGTAGACATTTTATTGCTGTAGAATGATAATATCAAAAGTGGCAAATTTACCTGGTTTTTTACTTTTTTTTTACTGCCCACGGAAATCTAGACGACCTATCGGAATATTAGTTATTTTATGTTGTAGGTATCTATTTAAATTACCTACAATTTAGATATCTCGAATAATTTTTCACTAATTTTTTAACTGTAAAATAAAGGTCGAACGCGAAAATATCAGTTTCCAAAAATTGCACATTTTATTATTGCAAAAAGCGATAGATGTGATGAAATTAATGGAAAAGACGGTCATTCCAATGACCAACATGTGTGCCAAACGCCGATTCAATTGATCGTGAAATTTTTGCTCCATATCTGTTTATAAATTTCGTTTGGTTTTTAGCAATTCATTGTGTAACTAAACGTTAATTTTAGAATTTAATATCACCGATATAGGTTCTAATTGATCCAAAGATTTGTATCGAAAAAGAAAGCGTTCAAAAAATTGAAAGAAAATAACCGTAACAAAGTAGGACCTGCAATTATAAACAAATTGTCGCAGGGTCAGGCAAATGCCGCTCGGGAATTCACTCTTTTTGCATTAAATCGAGCTTATTTTTAAGGTAATTAATTAAAAAAAAACAAATCACCTATCAAAAAATCATTGGAATATAAGTTTCGCATTTCCTTCTAGATAAATTCTACGAACTTTTCATGATTACGTTGTTTTTAAAATTGTGTTCTTAGAAAAAAACCAGACTACATGATTTTGGTGCGTTTAAATAAAATGTAAGAGATTTTTTTTTTCGAAATATCACCTCGAGTTTGGAAAAACTTTTTTTTTTTTTCATTGAAATACAAACGATATTTTCCTCTATGCTTCACTTCGTGTTTCTCATTCCACGTTAAAACTTTATCGATCCAAGAAAGCAGCGCTTAAAAAACATCATACCAGGCTAAAAAAGTGTAACAATAAGTGTACAAAACGCACCTTTTTTAACGTCTGTATTCTCTTCCTTCCCCTTTGTACACTTAATACCTGTTTAATGAATCTTTTATTATTTATTAAACGCCTCAGAAGAACGACCAGAAGATAATAAATTGCTGTTTATAGGTGTTGCTTATCTTTATGTTTCAAATTTTATAACTTTTCCAGCGTCGCGAATTATTCTGACTCATTTAAATAATGTGTTACTGCTTTATTTTCTCATAAATTAAATTTCTGTAGAGCGAATTTCTTTAGGGTCCTTTAAGGAATCTCTCTTAATTTAAATAAATATTTGAAATTCCTCTGTAAATCATCGCTGTCATTATGCCACCAAGACGGTAATAGGATATTTTTAAGGCGACGCCGACGGTTTCGGCCTTATACCCAAGTTTTGATAAATTGTTTTCCTGGTATCGAGTGGAAAAATTTCCTTTCTACCGACTGTATTCCTCATACAGAATATTTATTATTTTGATTCATTACCACTATTAGAATATCTTGCAGATGTTTACTTCAAATTGCTATATGAGCTTAAACTATAAGAACATCAAGTTTTTCATTTTCAGTTCCTACAGGGTGGTGCAGAACTTACGCACAAAAGAAAAATAAAATGCATGTCACTATTACCAGTTACTTCCGAAAGATTCAATAAAATACACTTCGCTTCAAAATTTATGCACTGCAAAAAGTAATAGTAATATAAAACAACGAACAACAAAATAACAATAAAAAAATAAAAACAAAAAAACTATAAATTATGATAAAAAATATATAAAAAACAACATATGAATAATAGATCTGGAAAGGTAGTCCCAATTCCAGGATTATGGACACATCTATGGCGGAACCAACTCTGGAAATGGTATCCGAGGTTTCCCTTTTAGAAGCCATTTGAGACTAGAATAGAGGATGAAAGCAATTGGGAGGAAAAGATTGATACACTGGAAAGACGAAACCTGGTGTAGTTTACGGACGGCTCCAAAGTGACCAGAGGGACGGGTGCAGGAATATATGGAATCAGACTCAGATGGAGTGCAAGACACGTCTCCCAGTGTGGTCAGGGGGCTCTGGACAAATGGACTGAGTTGGAACACAAGAAATACTGGGCTTTAATGCAAAGTCATGCGAAGGAACTCATGAAGTATCCTTCGAAGAAAAGAACGAATGAGTTGCTGAACTTGAATAAAATTCGGCTCAGGATAGTCATGGGACTTATAACGGGACATTGTTACTTTAGGAAACATCTGTACAAGCTAAAGCTTGTAGACAGTCCGGTCTGACGAGGATATGAACTATTTGGTGAATAAGACTTAATTAGAACCGACCAATAGAAGAAGAAGAGATCAGGAGAGCATACAAATCTTTTGTCTGCCAAAGAAGAATTGAATATGTTTAGATTGTTTTTAATATTAATATAATTAATAAGCACTTGATGTACATAGCAAAATATTGATAAAGAGAAACAACAAACAAATTACTAGGACTAGCATTTAGTTTAGGAACGTAATAATTAATATTTAATGTAATATGTATAATTCGATCATTACTGTGGTTAAAAATAACATCACAGAGTACCTATATCAAATAATAAGTTCTGAGAAAACCCTAAATCCAAAATTAAACATACCGGTTTGAAAAACCTCCTTTGCACTTTTTCTAATATGTTAAAATTGTTAAATAATGTGATAATTCAAAAAAGTAATTTGTATTTTTGTTGTTCTTATTACTTTTGTCACAGATGAATAAAATGAACGCCACTTTTTCTTAATGTTTGTATATAATTTTGTTTTATTAATCTTTATTGATTCTATACAAGGGAGGCTACCTCATTAAACAATCAACAAGGCGTGGAAAAAAATTGATCTTAAGTAGTAGTTGTTTTTACGCGTTCGTCTCTGACAAAGCTGATGAGACAACAACAATAATCGAAAGCACTAAAAAATAGGTATTTCTAGTGGGCCATCTACTGGCAATTACATTCTTCGGAAAGGTAGATCCTTCGCTGATGTAGTGTCAAAATTTCATGACATTTGGACAAATAGAAGCTGATTTATTGTGTCATCGGTACAAAAATGAGCATCGAACAAAGAGCTATCAAGTTTTATTTGAAACTTGATAAAACTATTACTGAAACGTGTCAATTGATGAACAAGTTTATGGTAATGATTGTTTATCCCGTGGAAGAGTTTATGAGTGATACACGCAGTTTAAAAATGGCCGTGAGGACATAAATAATGAGCAATTATCGAAGGACATCAAGAAGGAGGTCAAAAAGGACAAAAACTTGTGATGTACCAAAATATTTTAAAACAACTATTATTTTAGTATTAGTATATTTCATTTTAGTAAGCAACATGTTTATAATTTCGCAACATTATTGGTGATGATTTACTATCTCTACTTTATGTTACATCCTTTAGGTTCTGAAAAAGAAAAGAATGAATTACTGTTAGAGTAAATAAAAATTTTAAATTCTTCCGTTATGTTATGTTCTCATTAAATATTAGGTTTAGGTATCTTATATATTTAGGAATCCATTTATAGTTTAATAATGTAGTGCTTACCTCAATTCAGTTCGCAATTTGTTTATTTGTTTCAATTTGCATTTGTTTATTCCTAGGTTTTTGACTAAATCTGGCAGCAGTTATTTTGTCGCCCGCTTTATCGGACGTTTCACGTATCTTATGGTAGTTTTCTGTACTTCTTATCTAGCGTCCGTTTTTCATGGACAGATGGCACTACAAGGCTTATTCTGAAAAGTATTTTAAATATCGAAAGGTATGGCTTGTGACTTTTTCTAACACTTTTTTTTGGGGATTAAGTTAAAATCGATTTTTAACGGAAGAGAAAAGAAATTTCTAGAGTTTCGAGTCTTGTTAGATATCGAATGTGATTCTCACGTGGATTTTCTAAGGCTTGTAAACTTTGTGCGGGTGCAATAAGTATTTATAGTGAGTGAGTTTACTCATCCTTCATAGCAAAGGGAGAATTGACCGCACATTGTTGTTTGGTGGTTCCTGTTTTGGAATTTATTTTTGGATATTTTTGGAGTTGCGATAGCAAGTTCCTGGAACCTCCTTGCCGCCCCGGCGGGAGCATTTACGCCTTTCCACACCACGTACATCACATTTCAACTAAAGATCGCTGTCATCAAACCACGAGTTGGGAAAAGTCTGTCAGAAGAAACCCTCTAGTTATTGTGAGGTAACATGTTATTTTCTTTCTTATATATATTTTTTTTACCAACACGTTTAGTCATTTTTAATATATTTTCTGTAAAATAAATTCATTTTATAACTTAGCTGGAAATAAACTGATCGACACAATTTAGGAACTCTCATTCAGGTTTTCAATTATAATACAATTTGTTTATTATCCAATCAATTGTCTTAACGCTTCGACGCTGAATATTTCTAGTCATTTTGTATAACCTAAGTTGGTCGGCATGATTGCTCATACAAAATATCGTACTTTTAGGGTTTTATTGTGGAGTTAACGAAGTTTTGGTCTGGTAGCAAGCGATTTTGTTGGCGCAGTGGTCCCTACAAAAATCCTGCTGTATTATCTGCATCACCACGTGGCAACTACTTACCTGCCTGCTTGTTTAGCTGTCTGCTTGCCTAGTTAGCTGCCTGCCTACTTACCTGGTTGCCCACTCGCCTGCTGCTTACTCGGCTACTTGCCCGCTTGACCGAGACTGTCACCTATAAATAAAATGTTCAGCTAAGTTGCATGCTAAATATTTCTTATCTTTTGGTATTTTCATTTTAGTGTATATATCTGTATATTTTTGGTTACTGCTTGGCAAAGGCATATAAATAGTTATATAGATAAATAGTTTAGTTGTATAAGATAGTTTCCTTACTTAATTTGCTTATTTTAACTTACTCATTTAGATTTAACTTAGTCAAAGCTTTAAATTCGTCTTTGCTTCTATAATTAATTGAAAGACATTTGCTTAACAAGGTAAATAAGTTATAT